CACACACACACACACACACACACACACACACACAGTAAAGGCTTATTCAAATTGTATAAGTTCAGAATTCTACATCCAAAAAAACGATGAACTTAAAATATTTTTAAAATTCTACACTGTTACAAGAGTAGTTTTCTTAAAATATAAATCTGATGATGTTTCCCACTGGCCTAAAATTTCATTGCCTTGAGGGTAAAAATCCAAACAAGAAGGATACTTGACCCTTCCAATCCCTGTCTAATTCTCCTCCTCCCCACCATATCACTCACCTCTCCCTCACAGTTCCCAGCACAAATATGTATGCATGCCTGCACCCAAACGGCCACACACTCAACCCTTTTAAGCCAGGCCACTGCAGGACCTGTTACCTCCTTGCTTTTGCAAATGTTTCTTTTTCACTGTATATCTAGCAACATATATCACACATTCTTCATTCAACTCAAGCATTATCTTCTCAAGACAGCCTTCCTTGACCTCTCATTCCACTCTTAACCCCCTAACACCTAATACCTTCCTCAATCATAATACAACAACTTTCAAGATATTTACTTGCCTTTCATTCTATAGCCCAAGCCCAGTGACACTCAGCAAGTGCTCAACAAATGAATGCTGAATGGATGGAGGGCTAAATGAATAGAATAACTGAAGGGATGAATGGCAATTGGTGAATACTTACAAAATCATCCTCATAGTCCATAGGGGGCTCTGCTGGAGGGGCACAGCAGTGACGGATATCCAGTCTCATCTGAAGCTCACGCACCTGTCGACGTAGCTGCTCTACCTCTTGCTTGTACCCTGCTTCAATTTGCCGTAACCTATGCTGGATCACGTCTGTGGGAAAGGGGAGTCCATCATCATCCAGGTAGAGTGGAGGCACTGGAGAAGGGCAGCTCAGTGGGACAGGCTTTGTGCTGGAGACTTGCTTTGGGTGACCAGACAACCACATCCGGTTGTTTTTTCCTCCTGGGCCAGTACAGTGTCCATTGGAATGACTAGAACAGATAGGTGACTTCACACCTTCTCTCTGAGCCCACTGGCCCCCAAAGCAGGGCCCTGTGGCCCTCATCTGCTTACTGCTTGACCTCTTGCTACAGCAGCCATAGGAAAGCAGCCGCCGAGGGGTAGTCTCCCCACTTGGGAATGAAGTCACCAAGCCTTGGAAGCTGTCCCAGTTGGACCCTAAGAAAGAGAACTCACT